CAAGTGCACATGCCCTTGCAGATAAGATCTTGTGTGGCTTCCTGCACCTCGTACTGTATGTGGAAAGAATAGTCATTTTTCGATGAGACAGAGCCAACTGCATTCAAAACAAGCCAGGAGGAGCAGGTATTGGTGCAGGGTGTCTGTGCTCCAGAGCACTCCCCACTTTCCCATACCCGTGGGTTGCATTTGCGTGACTGCAGGAGTGTTCTGCTGCTCGTGCCTGGGCCTGAACGTGTGAGGTTTAGGAAACTTCCCCCATCCTTTGGTCACTGCACCTACACCTGGGTTAGGTGGAATTCAGTGTCATGTTGCCCAGCTTTCAATTGTGCCCTAGACTCAACCAGCTCTCTGCTGTATTTTAGGGATTTATCCTTGGCATACAAAACTATTAGAAAATGTCCAGATGGGATTTTTGCATTCACCATCATTAAGTCAAACAATGGGCCAAAGCTCCCCAAGGATGAGGAGACTCAGGGGCTTGGGCAGAGTTGGATCAGCCATTGGCCATCAGCTTTTCTCCTGCCCTAAGCAGTGCATGCAGTGCATTCATCACATCCTGCTCCCAGGCACGCTTGGGGGTTCAAGGCAAGAGAGGGACCAGCCTCCCCCACGTTTGTTGTCATCTGTGGGAGTTTAGTACAGGTTGAACACTTGTATGTGCTGCAATAATGATAATTATTGCTGTTATTAGATTATGCTAGAAACTCTCTGTGGATGAAACATATTTTTGTGCAAAGGCTCCTCGTACCACCAGCCATGACAGTAATATTCTCTTTGGGGTTTGAGGGAGTGTGTAGACCCTGATACCTGTCAATATCTCAGCATTCCCTAGAGCTTGCCCATGTTCCTGCCTCACGTTTTGGCCCTTTCTGACCAGCTGGTGAAGCTGGGGGTTCCTGCTGCCAGGATCTGGGCAGCCCTGCTGATCCAGCCCGAGGATGGATGCTGGCACTGCCAGATTCCAGCTTGCCTGGCTCGCCCTGCAGCCCAGCACTGCACAGGGGCTCTGCGTGGGGAGGGGGTTTCTCACTGTTCACTTACAGCCCACTCGGCCTCATTAAAGTGTTTGTTTTCCGAGTCAAATGAGCCTGCGAATGAGGTGTTGCTTTGCTGGAGATCTTATCGGCTGTAAACAGACTGTTAAAAATAGGGTCCTTTTACACAAAACTTGTTTGTGGAGTGAAACAATTCAAAACACGATAATAACAAAACAAAATCTTAAAATAGCTCGGAGCTGAGACCACAGACACAGCTGCCAAGCACTTTCATCTTTATTACAGTTACTCATATCTCTTCTCTTACTATTCCCATTGTAAACAGACTGATGTTATCTCTGCTGGCCTCCTGCTCAGCCCAGCCCCTGGACCTGCACCCTGATCCAGCCTGGTGCCTGTTTCTAGGGCCCAGCTCACGATTCTCCTTGCACGTGTGGCTTCAGGCATGGAGGGGGCAGGTGCCCTGCTCCTGGAGTGTTCCCTGTTCCCAGAGTGTTCCCTGCTCTGGGAGTGTTCCCTGTTCCAGGAGTGTTCCCTGTTCCC